TCCTTGCCCTCCAGACTCAAGGGGATGAGGCTGTCTGAAAGGCTTGGTCCAGGGCCAGGCTGAGTGTGCAGCACCCAGGTGACTGCGCTCCACTGTCTCTCTCTGAGTTATAGGCTAGCAAGCTGAGTTCCAGACAGAACAAGCATAGACAGAAGTTTCTGCTCCACCTGGTCCCACAGCCGTTTAGTCCCAAATAAACACACAGAGGCTTATATTAATTATAAACTGTTTGGCCTATGGCTCAGGCTTCTTATTGGCTAGCTCTCTCTCTTAACTATTAACACATTTCTATTAATCTAATTATTTCCATATTGTCTTGGCTTACCAGTGATGACCAGTTCTCTTGCTCCCTAGGCAGCTACAGAGTGTCTCCCTCTTCCCCTGTTTTCTGGTCTGAAAGCCCTTCCTATACCTCTTGCCTGGCTACATCCTTCCTGTCCGTTGGCCGAAACAGCTTTATTCATCAACCAATAAGAGAAACATATAGTCACAGCATACAGAAGGACATCCCCCATCAGGCAGGTGTCCACTTAAGTAGCTGTTGGGGGGGAAGGGGTGGGCTGGGACTCCAAACCTGATCTACTCCACTTCGGTGCTCCCTTAAGGCCATTCCTAAGCCTCCAACCAACTTTGTCTCTAGAACCTACCCTGATGTTCTCTGATCACAAAAACACGTGGTGGTCTTCAGATACCCTCAGTACCTGCTGAAAGAAGGGTTAGTCAGTCCTGAGTCTCACAATCAGGAGGAGAGTCAGGCAACTTTCCCAGCTTGCCAGGGCCTGAAATGGCTGCAGCTCATCCCCCTTTCCTCTCACACCCAGCTTACTGTCCTTCTTAGACGGAGTGGATAGTTACGGGAAGCCTTGGGGATCAAGAGTAAGGACAAGAGTTGGTGGGCGTGATTATGATGGCAGAATGGACAAGGAAGGCTACCATTAAATATTTTGCAGTCGCAACATGTTTAGGGCAAAAAGGCCTTGTGCACACAGATGAACCCTGAGAAGCCAGGAAAGTTAAACAAACACACGGCTTGCGTCGTCAATGGAATCAGGTGCTCAGCTGTTCTTCCTGGAATGCTAGGAATGATGCCAAAGTTTTACAACCTGGTGATCCTATGCAGCTCGATGAGGCAGACTCTGCAGAATTTCCCAGAATGTACGTTTTTACTTATCTAAGACCTTTCCCCTTAAATCGTGAGCATTGTTTTTAGACCATTAGCCCCTTTCTTATGATTGATGTCACTTATGCATTCCAACAGCCTAAAGTGACTTCTATGTTATCTTAGGGCCAGGCTCTAGAAGTCTTGGTCCAGCACCTGTTACAACAAAATCTGGCTGAGTTTCATTATTGTCTCTTCATGGAATAACCCCAGCAACAAATGTATAAAAATCCTTGAAATGAGAGGGCGAGTCCTCTTCAGGTCATTCCTCCTCCCCGTCCAATGTCCTACTGAAGGAAGCAGTAGGAGGCTGGGATAACAGCTTCTTGGGACCCTCCCAGAGTGTTTACTCGAATTCCTGTGGGCTCCAAGGGTCTGGCTCAGCTTCCCAGGGTCATCAGAGAAGGAACAAAAACAGAGACCAGACCCTGACATGCAGAGTGAACATAATCCTCACAGCCAGATCTCAGCCAGACCACTTTTGTCCTCCTATTGAACATCAACAATCTCAGAAAAGGCCCAGGTCATGAGATAAGATGACAAAATAAAGCCAAAGTCACTGGGGCCACCCATAAGATGCCAATAGACCCTCTCTGGTTAAGAAGAATGACTGTCTCCGGGTAGTGATAGTCTGTGAACTCACTCTGTGAGTTTGAGACCAGCCTGGTCTACAGAGTGAGTTCTAGGACAGGCTCCAACGCTACAGAGAACTCCTATCTTGAAAAACATACAAACAAAAAAGATAAATGATTGTCTTTAACAACTATATTGAGGGGTTGGAGAGATGGCTCAGTGGTTAGGAGTGCTGACCACTCTCGCCATTCTTCCAAAGGATTCTGGTTCAATTCCCAGCACCCACAGGGCAATTCACAACTCCAGTTCCAGGGGATGTGACATCCTTACACAGACATGCAGGCAAAACCTGCATGTCTACAGAGCAAGTTCCAGGACAGCCAAGGCTACACAGAAAAACCGTGCCTGGAAAAACCGAAAAACAAAATAAGTAAAAATGCACTGCTGGGGAGGCTGGTGACTTGGCTCGGCAGGTAGAGGCACTTGCCATGAAAGCCAGACACAGAGTTCAGTCTCCGGAGCCATGAATTCTAGTCTGATTTTCTGTTGCTTATTTGGCTGCTAAGTCACGGGTTATAGTGCATCATGGAAGGAGGAGAAAGCAGGAACTCTGGGCAGGAGTTAAGAGCAGAAACCAGCAGAGTAACACTGCTTGCTGCCTTGCCCCTGCCAGCTCATGCTCAGCTACCTTCTCCTTTTGTTGTTTTGTTTTTGAGGCAAAGTTTCTCTATGTAGCCATGTCTGGCTTGAAATTTGCTATGTAGACCAGGCTGGCTTCCAACTCACAGAGATCCTCCTGTCTCTGCCTCCTAAGTGCTGGGATTAAAGGAATGCACCACCACTTAGGCTCAGCTACCTTTCTTTATTTTTTTGGAGGGGAGGTGGTGGTGGTGTTTTGTTTTTTGAGACAGGGTTTCTCTGTATTGTTTTGGAGGCTGTCCTGGAACTCACTCTGTAGACCAGGCTGGCCTCGAACTCACAGAGATCCTCCTGCCTCTGCCTTGTGAGTGCTGGGATTAAACGCGGGCACCACCAACGCCCGGCTCAGCTATCTTTCTTATATGCAGCCTAGGCCTAAGTGGCCAGACATGGCACCACCCACCGTGGACTGGGCCCTCCTGCATCAACTAACAATAAAATGCTCCACAGATATGTCCACGGGCCAATCTGATGGAGGCAATTCCTCAAACTCAGTTCCCTCTTCCCAAGTATGGCAAGTTGACAGCCAAGATTAGCTTTCACACCATATGAAGGGCAGAACTAAGTCCTCTGACCTTCACTGCTGGAAAAATCCTGTAGTGGTTACAGCAAGGCGAGGACACCTGCTATAGACCTCAGATGTTGTAACAGCTTTTAGCCTTTAGGTTGGAGGAAGCTGGACATATGCTTGTAAATTCCAAACTAATGTACCTAATAGTGCCAAGGATGTCAGGTCACACCCAGAGCGGGTGGGCACTGACTGGCTCTTAGCTGCTGTAGATAGTACAAGGCAATTTCCTTCCTTCCCAATCTGTAACATTCCAGATATCTACAGTCACGGGAGTTTTAATCAGTCAGTCAGGATCATAAAAGGGTTATCAGAGGTGTGGCTCCCATCACCCTGGGAACCTTGGTTCACGCCATCGAGCCTGATAGCTTTTGCTGTTGCAGTGGTTGTCTCACGGTGTAGACCTGCCTTGCCTGGATTTCACTATGTAGACCAGGCTGGCCTCAAACATGTATTCTCCTGCCTCTGCCTCCCAAGTGCTGCAGGCACCACCACTCTGCCCAACTCTCTCAACACCAACACATGACTTTGGCCATTAACTCCTATACTCATTCAAGGGACGAATCACCTTCAAGTCCCAGCACCAGGTCAAATATAGAGCAAAGAGCCTGACACCCCACTCACCACTTCAAAAATCCTCCCACACTCTCGGTCAAGACAACTGCTAAGTTACTCTCTACCTGTGTCTTTGCCTCTACATGTCTTAACCGTCTCATATAAATGGAATCAGGTGGTATGTGGTCTCTCACGAAGCGTCGTCTTCCTTCACTTAGCACAATGCCTTCAAGTTTCATGTAGCAGTAACTCACTTCTGAGAAGGCTGCTTTTTTTCAAGACAGGGTTTCCCTGTGTAGCCCTGGCTGTCCTGGAACTCACTCAGTAGACCAGGCTGGCCTCAAACTCACCTGCCTCTGCTTCCTGAATGCTGGGACTAAAGGCATGTACCACCACTGACCCAAAAGAAAGCTGGTTTTGTGTGTTACTCTGAGTCACAGAGCACCCAGTCAAAAGAGGGAAGATCCCTAGCACAAAAGTTACTGACAATTGTAAGCTGCCATGTGGGTGTTGGGGACTGAACCCAGGTCCTCTGCCAGAGCAGCCTGGGCTCTTTAACATTAAGCCCTCTCCAACCTTTTGGTTGTTGGTTTTTTTGGGGTTTTGTTTGTTTAGGTTTTATGCTGTTGGGCTTTTGGTTTTGTTTTGTTTGTTTATTTGAGACAAGATCTCACGAAGCTCAAACTGGCCTCGAACTCCTGGTGCTCCAGCCTCTACCTCCAAGTGTGAGAATTATAGGTATAAATGCAAATTACAGTTCTCAATCCAAAGAAAATAAGATTGTTTATTCTGGAGCCAAAGGCTGGCCTCAAATTCCATATAAAGCTAAGGCTGATCTTGAATTCCTGATATATCAGCCTCCAACTCCCAAGAGCTGTTATTACAGATGTCAATACAAAATATAGTTCTCATGTCAAAGGCAATAAGCAAGTCTATTCTAGAGCCAAATATGAATGGCCTTAGGTACATAGGTTCAGGTTGCTCCGAATAACATGTTCCATCTTGGTAGCAGATGCTTGATGTTTTCATCAGTACAGAGCAAAAGTGGGTCATAGATCAAGGCACTTTCAAACACCAGGAGGCAGTGACGCACCCCTTTAATTCCAGCACCTAGGAGGCAGAGGCAGGCAGATCTCTGTGAGTTTGAGGACAGCCTTGTCCACAGAGTGAGCCAAAGCTACACAGAGAAACCTTGTCTTGAAAAAAACCAAAGGCCGGGCGTTGGTGGCGCATGCCTTTAATCCCAACACTCGGGAGGCAGAGGCAGGCGGATCTCTGAGTTCGAGGCCATCCTGGTCTACAAAGCGAGTTCCAGGACAGCCTCCAAAACAATACAGAGAAACCCTGTCTTGAAAAAAAAAAAAAAAGGAAAGAAAGAAAAAAAAAAAAAGAAAGGAAAAAACCAAAAATCAAATAAAATGAAACCATCTATCCAAGTCCCTTACCTGTACCAGCCTGCAAGCCCAGGACCAACCCCAGCCTCTTCCATCTGATAATCTGTCTTTTTCTGGCCATATGCTCTGAAGCTTTGCAGACAGGAACATGCAGTCCAGCCAGGCTCTTCCCCAGCCTGGATGCCATCACTATGGAAACCGAAGCATTAGAAAAAGAGAAAACCTGGGCCTGTTCATTGGGGAAATTTTACTGTGCTCTTGTTATCTGGCACTGGGCCAGCACTTGCACCCCCAATTAAGAGCTTTGCTTTTCCAGTGCTCACACTGGTTTCTGTGTGGACTTATGGTGCCTCTGTCCCTGTTGGGCCTAAGAAAGGCTTGGATGCAAGGTCCAGCGTAAGCTCCTGAGCCTGATTTGAGTTTTGGGCTCAATGTGAGGCCCAGTATAACCTCCTGAGCCTGGCTAGAGTTTAGTGACCTGTCTCTAACCTGTAACCTCCACGTGGGGGTGACTCAGACAGATCTGATGCAAGATTGCCCCCTGCCTAGCTACCTGCCTGCTTGGTGGAATACTATTGGCCCTTAACTCCTCACATCACCTTACCCTATCCCAAGATTCCCATCCCCTACCTCAGTCCTATATAAGTTCCTGAGTGTTGGAGTAAATCGAGATCCTGCTTCAACAGACTCCCGACTCAGTGTATGTTTTTCCCCTGGTAACTAATGGGGGGGAGGGTCTGAGTTGTCCCTCTCAGCCCCCAGGAAGAGGCTGGCTGGACCGGCCCTTCCCCCGCTCTACCTGCAGGGAGGACCTGCAAGTCCCTACATCTCAGGCCTATATCTAGGTGGGCTTCCTTGAGACTGGACTGCCAGCTCAGTTACTGGCTCTCTCCTACAAGATCCACATGTACAGAGGAGAGACAAGAGGAGGGTGAGGAACAAGAGAAGGCATAGTTGGCCGGGTGATGGTACACACCTTTAATCCCAGCATTTAGGAGGCACCCAAAGAGAAGAATGTCCCTGCCATATGTATAGGTGGACTTAGGGGGGGGGGGGGGGGGACTGGGATGTTTAAAATGAAATGTGAGGGCCTGAGGATGTATCTCAGTTGGTAGACTGCTTGCCTAGCGTGTATAAGGCCCTGAATTGGATCCCCAGCACTGCATAAGTAATGTAACCCTGTGGGGACATGGGAGGGAGAAGAAGGATCAGAAGTTCAATGCTAACCTTGGGCACATGGTGAGTGTGAGACTAACCTGGGTTACATGAGAAAGTTGCAAAAAGCAAAACAAAAATGAAATAGGATGAAGCCAACAAAACCATCAGCTGAGTGTGGTGATGTCTTTTTTTTAATTTTTAAATTTTATTTTGGCCGGGCGTTGGTGGCGCATGCCTTTAATCCCAGCACTCGGGAGGCAGAGGCAGGCGGATCTCTGTAAGTTCGAGGCCAGCCTGGTCTACAAGAGCTAGTTCCAGGACAGCCTCCAAAGCCACAGAGAAACCCTGTCTCGAAAAAAAACCAAAAAAAATTTATTTTGGTGCTTTGCCATGGGTGTCAGATCCTCTGGAACTGGAATTACAGAGAGTTGTGAGCTGCCACGTGGATGCTGGGAATTGAACCCAGGTCCTCTGAAAGAGAAGTCAGTGCTCGTAACCACTGAGCCATCTCTCCAGCCCCCCCCCCCACAGTGTGATGATACCTTGTTTGTACAAATACCATGTGTCTGAAGACCAGAGTGTGGAGGCTGTCACAGAGGTCTAAAGGTCTGTACAGACAGAGAGGAAGTGACATGACTGGGTGGAAAAAGGAATATAGGTGAGAGGCATTAGGAACTCGGTCTCTTTTCCACTGGGAGCCCAGTAAGGAAAAGGTGGCTTTGGCCTGCTCCTCCTCCTCTCTGACTTCTCAGCGTTTTCCTCTGTCTCTGACTGCGGGCTTTTACTATTAATGCCTATTAGAGCCTGTGTTACAGCTGAGGCCTGCCCTTCCCTTCTGCTTCTTGCACCTCACAGAATGGGGAGAGAGGACAAGCCTTGCTTCTGGGCTCTGGGCTGTCTGCTGTCTTCCTAGCACCAGAACAAACATTCTAGCAATCGATGGAACTCGAGGCTAGGCTCTCCCAAGAAGGAAAGATCTATTTACTAATGGTGGAGAATGTAGGCCTTACTGGTCACCCAGAGGACTGGGCCCTCTAAGAGGCATCCTGCTAACTACAGGAAGCTTGGTGCGCCCCCACCCACTCTCCAGGGATAACAGGGTCTCACCTTGCTCTCACCCAGGCTGAAGTCCAAAAGCGAGTCCTGGGTGTGACTTGTCCTTGAAGGGAAAACTTCCTCAAGTTGCATAAACAAACTATGGAACAAGTCCAGGAGCCTGTTCCCAACACCTCATTCTGGCCAGCCCTGTGCCCATCCCTAAGAGTCAGACTCAGGAGACTCAAAGACATAAATTGCCTGCCATTATCAAAGACATAAATTACCTGCCACTATCCTCGGGTACACCCTGTCTTTGACCACCCAGTCTCAGGATCTCACAGCCACACTGTGATGTCACCATAGACTTCTTAGTTGTTTAACACACTGCAAGGGAGGCAGGCACAGTGATCCTGGGGAGGCAGGCCGTGCTGGAGGACAAAGGGCAGAGTCAGAGAGTGCTGGCTTTCATCCTGCTCCTAGCTCCTCCGGGCTGCCGACCACCCACCCAGTGATCCCCTGGGAACTGCAGGCAGCCCTATATCCCAGCTCTGTGATTCTCAGAGGAGAGAGTTATGGAAGGAGGACTGTCAGCCTAACCCTGCAGGCACGGAGGGAACTGGACCAGCTAGCTGGTCAGCTCTGCGTTCCTATTTTACCTTCCTGTGACTTTTCAACCTAGAGCCAGAGGTTAGGGTTGAACTTGCTGGCCTGGACTTGTAGGAGCCTGAGTCAGGGTCCAAGGCGGCTTCGCGGTAATTCCAAGAGAATCTGAAAGAAGCAGCCTGTGCTTAACCAGCATTCCACCAGCAGCTCCCCTCCCCCACTCCCACTCCGAGGCTCTCCCTGGAACGCGCCCCTCTCCCCACTTCTTGCACTCTATCCCCGATGCCCTGAGCACACTTCTGGGACCCACACAACTTTGGTCGTGAAGCCTGCGTGATAGCTTTCCTCAGGGATAAACCTGTGCGAAGATCTGGGTGAAAGAGGGGGAGGGAGGAGCCGACTGCCGCCTCTCCAGCAGAAGGCTTTCCTAGGCGCTGCAGGGGTGCTGTCCACCCTGTGGTGCTGAAACGCCTCTCTGCCCCTTCTAAGACGTGCCAGGAGTCACTCAGCTTCCCACAAGGAGTTGAACGCATCATCAGGCCGTTGGTTTGACTGGAATCGGTATAGACAAGGAAGTTTGCCTGAGGAAGTTTTGCCTGAGGAAAGCCATCCAGAATGCGCACCGTGCGTGGGACCCAGGCAGCCCCTGAGCATGGTCTTCTGTCCCAGGGTGGCTCTGCTCCTTAGGCCTCTCCTACCTAGTACTGCATGAGGTGGTGCTCAGTTTCCAGACAGATGCCACCATTCTTGCGGCATCAAAGCTGGGCAGTCACAGCTATCTGCCAGGCAGGAGTAAAAAGCTCTGACACTCCCTCCCTCTAGTCCTCCCTCCATGTGTTCGTCTCTCTCTTCCTTCCCTTTTTTCCTTCTTTCTTTTTTTTTGGGGGGGGGGAGGGTTGAGACAAGGTCTCCCTCTGCAGTTCTGACTATTCTGGGACTCATTCCACAGTCTAGGCTTTCCTCAAACCCACAGAGTAATACTCCTGCCTCAATCTCTCAAATGCTGGAATTACAGGAGGGAGCAACTACATCAGTCTCTCCCAAACATCTTTTAGGGCCTCTGGAACCTCAAGGCATTGCCCTGTGCCTCACAATTCCTTCTGGACTGGGAATGAGGTTCAGCATTTCTAAGGTCTACAGCCTTTGGGGCGGTTTTTTACCCCGGAGCGGGATGCAGACAATCAGGTCACCTAGCACGATGTTGATGACAGCCGTGCCAAGAAGTAAAACTCTGAAAGAACTAGCTGCTTGGAAAAGGGAGCCCAAAAAGACACAAGAAAAGCCAAAAGGCATTGCTAGTGCACAGCACAGCCCTGCAGGGAGGGTGGAGCCTACCCTTACTGCAACCTGGTCCCTGGTGTGTCCCTGCCTCCTCTGACCTTCTGGTCCCCAGCAGCCCTGATCATCCTGAGATATCAGATCTAGATTCTGCAAGTCAGGCTGGCAGGCGCCATCATCCACATTCCAGAGCCCAGTCTATAGCAAGCACAGACAGACAGCACCGAACAGGGGTTGGTGATCATTCTGGGGCTCTGCAGCAGGTGACAGTGTGGCAAGGTCGCCTGCACAGGAACAGGCTTTGAGAGCTAGGCTTTCAGAGATGCTGTCCTGGAGCCACTAGGAGGGTGAGCAGTTCAGTGAGAATGCAGGTGCACCAGTAGGGGCTGCTGCTCAAATTTGCCCATATGCCCTTTGACAGTCCTTGCCAGGGCAAGCTTCATCCTGAAGACAGACGAATTCTATCTGCCCCTGTCCCTAGCCCCACTCTGAGAAATGATACCCAGTGAAAACGTGGAGCCTAGTCAGACAGTGGTGGTGTGTGCCTTTAATTCCAGCACTTGGGAGGCCAGCTTGGTCTACAGAGCTAGTTCCAGGACAGGCAGAGCTAAACAGTGAGGTCCTGTCTTAAAAAACAAAACAAAACAAAAATAAAGAAAGAGAGAGAGAGAGGAAGGAAGGAAGGAAGGAAGGAAGGAAGAAAGAAAGAAAAAGAAAATGTTGAGCTTATTGTTCAAAAACCAAATATTTCAAGAAGGGAACGTGTAGAGGATTAAACACGTGCAGATTCCACCTATGTGCAGACTTCAGGCACTACACAAGGCCTACAGCAACAAAGTCAGCTTGCTCCCATCCATCCCATGCAGGTGTGTCATTAAACTTTAACTACACTTCTGGGAACTTCCCAGTTACTTGTTATGAAAGAGCCTCTTCCTCGGTGAACACAATAAGGAAGGAGACAATGTTAGTCCATCTTGCCAGCTTGGCACGTTCTCACTCAGAGCCCTCTCCAACACACAAGTGAACTCTTCAGCTGCCTGCCTGTGCCTCAGTTTCTTCTTGCAGTTGCCATGGGTGCCTGCATCCCTCCCCAGTGCTCCAGGTAGCCAGGAACACACTTGGAGAAGGAAATAAGCAGGCCGTGCGTGCTCCAGGAAACGCTTTCTTAATCTCCACTATTTGCCTCAGTTTTCCCTCTGATATTGGAGAGAGAGGAGAGTTCAGAATAAGGTGGTGCGTAGTAGTCGTATTTGGGATGTCTCTTTTTTGAAGATTAGAAAAATTTTTTATGCATGCACAAGTGAGTTTGGGTACCCGAAGAGGCCAGAAGAGGGCATCAGACCCCCTGGAGCTGGAGTCATAGGCAGTTGTGAGCTGTCTGATACGGATGCTGGGAACCAAACTCAGGACCCATGCAACAGCAGCAAGTGCTGTTTACTGCTGAGTCATCTCTCCAGCCCCGGGGATAGCTCTTGAAGGAGGCTAAAGTTCTGGGTACCAGGGATGGGGAGAGCCTAAGGAACTGTTTTCCAACTTCCCGAATGCTATTTCATGGTTAAGTGATGTCCCGCCAGCACCTAGAAAAGAAACTAGAGCCCTGCAAGGGGTGCTACAGCCAGTGCCGCAGTGTGAGCCTGAAGCACAGTGTCTTTAGCCTGGCAAGTTATTGGGAGCTGGGCAGGGGAGGAGGGGGAAATCTCAGTAGTGTAGCTCAGTGTGGAGTGTTTGCCTAGCATGAGCCAGACCCTGGATTCAATCGGCACGATGGAAGAAAGAGACAGGTGGAAGGAAAAAGAGGGAGGAGGAAAGCCAAGGAGGAAGCAAGGGGTAGGAGTAATGAATACCTTCAGAACTAGGAAAGGCCTCGGGCTGGAGGAAGATCAGGGGCAGCAGAGGGCGCCCATGTGCAGACTCACTCAGAGGAGGAACCTACAAGGACATACCCCAGCCATCCCCAAACTATAACCACAAAAGCCTCACCACACACACACACACACACACACACACACAAACACACACACACACACACACACACACGCACACGCACCCTACCGGCAGCTTCAAGATCAGAGACTTTGGACTTTAGGTCCTGGGGAAGGGGGACCCCTTATAAAGGGTTCACCTTAAATGTCTCACCTCCAACTATTTTCATGAACTTAAGTCCTCTGTCCAATGAGAAACGGAGAGCCCAGGCTGTGTAGACACTGTGGCCTCACCCTCCTACGGTGCGGATGATCGGTTGGAATTTTATAGCACACGGTGAGCTGAGGGCACACCTGAGTACATTGTGGAGGCTATCCTACAATACCAAGTCCATTTGCACTGCAGCTGGGAAGGCTGAAAGGCAGAGCATCATTAACGATGCCAACAGTATCCACACATAGTGAAGGACTGAAAGGAAACATTTAAAATTAAACAAGAGTTCGGCGCTGAGGTGGCACATGCCTTTAATCCCAGAATTCAGAAGGTAGAGGCAGGAGGATCTCTGAATTTGACTCCAGCCTGGTCTACAGAGGGAGTTCCAGGACAGCTAGGGCTACACAGAGAAACTCTGTCTAAACAAACAACTAACAAAATAACAACAACCACAACAAGACTCTCAGAGATCCACCTGTCTCTGCCTCTAAGGATGCTGGGATTAAAGGATCCTCCTTATTTATTTATTTTGAGATAGAGCCTCATGTAGCTCAGGTTGGCCTCAAGGTTACCATGTATCTGAGGATAGCCCTGAACTTGCACTCTCCTTGCCTCTGCCTCTCAGGACAGGCATGGAAGACTCCACCTGGTTTCTGTGGTGCTGGGGACCAATCCCAGGCCTGGGCATGCTAGACAGTCTACCAACTAAGTTCCAGTTTCTGCTCACAGTCTTTTGTTTTTTCTGACAGAAAGCAGGGTTTCTCTGTGTGGCTCTCTCAGTCACTCTTTAGATCAGGCTGGCCTCAAACTCAGAGCTGGGCCTGCCTGCGCCTACTGGAATACTGGCACTAAAGAATGTGCCACCGTGTCTGGCTAATAGTCTGTCCTCTCACTGTGCCTTTTTCCCTCTCAGGCTGGCAGTTCGTTCAGCCTCCCCCTCCCCCCCTTCCAAACTCTGAATGTCAATGAACACAGTTGGAAAAATCCAATGACACCCCAATCCCTACCTCCGGCTAGCCTGTGAGCCTGGCTTCTGAGGTGGAACCAAGAGAGGTGGGGACAGGGACAATCATTAGTTTTCTCCTCGACTTTTTGTGGGGCAAGAACAGAGCGTATGTCGTCCCCATTGCTGGATTTTTCCACACATCCTGTTGCTGTTATTTCAAAATGTTTGGGGGCAGGAGGTTCTGCCGGTTTCTCAAGAGAAGCTGGTGAGAGTGTGATCCTTCCCCTGGCCCCCTTCTCTCTACCTTACAGGTTTCTCTTCCACAGTTAGAAAAACAGGGTGGACGGGATGGCCGCTTGCACAGAGCGCTGCCAAAAGCGCAGTGCTCTTGGCTCTGTCTGAAGATGGCGGAGTTCCAGGGTGGGGAGTGGTGAAGTCAAGCTATTGATTAAACCTTGCAGGGCCTGTGGATTTCATCTCAACATCCAGGAATACAAAAGCTGGAGCCTCTCTAAGCCTCCCCTGAATCCTCTGCTAATTAACTCTGGAGGGGGTGCCGACAACAAGGCCAGACAACAGTGAGGTCCCCGGGGGAAGGAAGTGTGTGAGCTGGGGGAAGGGCCACTGCGTGCCTAGGCCTGGGAAGAGGGAGGGAGACTGGGTGCAGAGCTCAGCTCTGCTCTTCCCTTGTCGGACAATTGAGGTAAGTCATTGTCCTCTCTGAGCCTGGCTTCCTTTCTTGTAAGTCAAAGAAGCAATTTAGGATCCCCGTTCCCCCTCTAGGGTTGTGAGCTTCTTTGGGTTCATGCTGGCCTGCAAAATACACCAAA